TTAGGCTTTATTTTCTGCATTATAAAGAACTATGTACCACAGTTCCTACTTTGATAATTTCAAGTCTTTAATTTAATGAAGTTGTTTACTTTAAAACTGGTTCCTCAATTCTCGACATTTATTATGTAATGTTCAATTTATGATACACTTAATACCATTGCAATTGTGAGTAAAACACCAATACCACTACCATACCACTTAATGACATTGCAGTTGTCTGTAAAACTAAAACACTGTTGTAATCGTTTACAGTGGCCTGGTAAACGATTACACGAGAGAAATCACTGTTTGTACAGAAAGTTGAACTGAAGTATCAGCTGTGTGTGGGTGATCATTGGAAAAAATTGTTACTTTCAGGCACAAGTCCACTTGTATTTACTTGGTGTTGGTGTTTCAGTCGAGGTAGAGAGTGGAAAGTGATGGGAGGTGGACACCAAGAAGTGGAGAAGAAGCCATTCTTACTTAGGGGACCAAGTTGGACAAGTGTAGACCAATCTGTAGAAAAAACACTATGGTAATCGTATACAATTTCCTTGTAATCGATACAGTGTCAAAGAAGGTGTAAACTTGATTTCTAGATATTTGAATGGTCTTTGAGTATAGATTCACCAACAAAACAAGAATCAAATCATTTGGAGTTCGGTGGAAAAAAGTTAGAGCAAAGAACAAGCAAAGGTCGGAGTTGGCAAAAATATATAACCCTAAACTTGAAACAATAAACTGTAACCAACTCAGATGTCCAAAAATTTACAATTAGTAGTCATTGGAAAATTTTTGAGTCTAGTTTAATAAAAAGAATCACATCATTTGGAGGTCGGTGGGAAAAGTTATCAGTAAAATAGCCAGCAAAGGTCAAAGTTGACCGCATGTTTATCTCACCCAAGTTGCTCACCTCATAACATTGTTTCTTTCCTCCATCATGGGGTGCCAAAACATCACTTCCCACCACTGAAACACAAGGAACCAGCTAAGACAAGTGCAAAAGTGCCTAAAAGTCACTTCTTTTCAATGGTGACCCTTTCACCTGACTGAGTACCTATGTTTGGACTTCTGTACAAAATTCCAATTTTCTCTCGGGTAATCGTTTACAGTGTCCTTGTAATCGATTATAGTGTCAAAGAAGGTGTAACTTGATTTCCAAGGCATAATTTGAAAGGTTTGAGTCTAGATTCCAACAAAACAAGAATCAACTCATTTGGAGTTCGGTGGAAAGTATGAGCAAAAGAACAAGCAAAGGTGAGAGTTGGCAAAAATATATGAAACGCTAACTTGAAACAATAAAATGTACCAACTCAGATGTCCAAAAATTACAAATTAGTAATATTGGAAAGATTTTGAGTCTAGTTTCTAATAAAAAAAGATCACATCATTTGAGGTCGGTGGGAAAAGTTATCCTAAAATAGCCAGCAAAGGTCAAAGTTGACAGCATGTTACTCACCCAAGTGCTCACCTATAAAACATTGTTTCTTTCCTCCATCATGGGGTGCCAAAACATCCTTCCACCACTGAAACAAGGAACAACCAAGACAAGTGCAAAAGTGCCTAAAAGTCATTCTTTTTCCAATGGTGACCCTGTTCCACCTGACTGAGTACCTGTGTGGACTTTCTGTACAAATTCCAATTTTCTCTCGGGTAATCGTTTACAGTGTCCTTGTAATCGATTACAGTGTCAAAGAAGGTGTAAACTTGATTTCCAAGGCATAATTTGAAAGGTCTTTGAGTTAGATTCCAACAAAACAAGAATCAACCATTTGGAGTTCGGTGGAGAAAGATATGAGCAAAAGAACAAGCAAAGGAGAGTTGGCCAAAAATATATGAAACGCTAACTTGAAACAATAAACTGTACCAACTCAAATGTCAAAAATTACAAATTAGTAGTCATTGGAAATATTTTGAGTCTTAGTTTCTTAATAAAAAAAAATCACATCATTTGGAGGTCGGTGGGAAAAGTTATTCAGTATAATGCAAGCAAAGGTCAAAGTTGACAGCATGTTATCTCCCAAGTTGCTCATCTCATAAACATTGTTTCTTTCTCCATCACGGGGTGCCAAAACATCACTTCTCACCCTATACTCACACTTTAAACAACAAAATCAAGTTAAAACCATGGGATTTATGCAATCATACTGGTTTTCACAATGGTCGCCCACGTTAACCTGACTAACTACCTCTGTGACTTTTTGTACAAAACCTTATTTCTCTCGGGTAATCGTTTAGGAGGGAGTTTGTAAACGATTACCACAGCCTTTCTTCAGCACTCTCAGTCATCCCTTGCACAAGTTGCTCCCCCACTCATGAGGGGTCACTCCACACTCCTTGGGGCATAATCACATCACCAACCACCCCTCCCACCACTGAAACACCAGGACCAGCCTAAGACAAGTGCAAAAGTGCCTAAAAGTCACTTTTTTGGACAGGTCACCCCTGTGAATCTGACTGACTACCTGTGTTGGACTTTCTGTACAAAACCTTATTTCTCTCGGGTAATCGTTTACCAAGCACTTGTAAACGATTACCACATCCTTTTTTCAGCACTCTCAGTCATCCCTTGCACAAGTTGCTCCCCCCACTGATGAGGGGTCATCCACACTCCTTGGGACACCATCACATCACCAACCACCCTCTCCCACCACTGAAACACCAGGACAGCCTAAGACAAGTGCAAAAGTGCCTAACAGTCACTTTTTTTGACAATGGTCACCCCTTTGAATCTGACTGACTACCTGTGTTGGACTTTCTGTACAAAACCTTATTTTCTCTCGGGTAATCGTTTACGAGGGAGTTGTAAACGATTACCACAGCCTTTCTTCAGCACTCTCAGTCATCCCTTGCACAAGTTGCTCCCCCACTCATGAGGGGTCACTCAACACTCCTTGGCCTCACAGGACATCACCCCCCACTCAAATTATGATTCAAATGAACTGGTTTTCTCATAAGTCACCCATGTTACCCATAATGACCACTCAAACACCAACATCTTACAAACAAGCCTGCAACTTAGCAAACACAAAACTTTACCACATTCTAAAATCCACAAACCCACAACTCATAATAACAATGGTATTCAAAAAATAAAATGAGACCAACTCAAACAAAAACTCAAATTTTATATCATTCAAATAAATCCGATACATTACACTTTGTTTTCTTAATCTATTTACAATGATTACAATGATCATTTACTTTCCATTAATCAACTAAATACACATATGACTCATTTTTTATTCTAAGCACTACGATTCTGGTGTATGGAGTCCTAAGTGCTCTTCCCTTGTAACGCATTCGGGATCCAACCCTAACATACGTCTTCAAAGGTTCATTTCCGTCGTCGGACAATGGTCACCGGACCTTGCCATTCAGCACGATAACTTGTACGAAAAACACCACCTTTACGAAAATGGAGGGAGACAACACCACGCACACAGAACAATCACATACAAAGCTAAGTCAAGAGGCACGAAACACGTTCAGGAGACGGGACCTTCACGAGACGGGAACTTCGTTTCCAATTAAACATAGAAAGGGGTATTTTTGTATTTTCAGTTAAAAGAAGGGTTACGTACTTCTTTTTTTATGTTTTTTTTAAATTTTTTTTTTTAAACCAAACCAATGAAAATAGGACACGTGTCGTTGTCAAAAAAGTGTTAAGAAATGGTTGTTGGAATATCGCGGTCCTTTTCTAATTGGTCCTTTTTGTTGCTCTGTACTATTTCATGCAAAATAAAAATAAATAAATAAACGTTTTTTATTCCAGCACTACCTTAAAAACTTTATTTGAATTACTACTTAAATAAAAGTGTTCTAAAGTTACTTTTAAAATTAATTTCTCATATAAGATAAAGCCACATTATAACAATATAATAATCAATACAGGTTGCATTTATTTCTAAAAATTCTCCCAAATTTATGATTTGTTTCTTCTTAAGATACCAGTACTACATATGGATAGAGTTCATCATAGGTTAAATTGTACTAATAAATTTGGTTTATCACTTTTAATAAACCCTCATTCCCCATATTTTTTATTTTCCTCACAAAAGTTATATTCTAAACTTCAGTAAAGACCAAAACCAATTTACAATACAAATCTACTTGGCTAGAAACAGTTGTGACGGGATAACAAATATATAAATAAGAAGAGATATTAAAAGTTAATTAATAAATGTCATTTTTAATCTTAAAGAAATTAATTTTTTTGAAATTCTAACTTAATTTTTGCAATACAACACACAATATTGTAGAAACTAAGATAAATCTTTTTATGATAAAAAAAATTGTTGTTAGACACAATTTCACCCTTATTTAAAGGTAATAAAAAAATTAGTTTTTGTATTTATAAAGAAAAATAATAACAAAAAATAACATTAAATAAGAATAAAAAAATTTGAATATAAAAATATCATTGTCCTTTCAAAATAGGTACTCAGTAACAACTTAGAAAGTCACTTTAAGTTTAATTATTTTTTACAAGATTAATTTACAAAAGTAAAGATTATGTATAACTATACTTATATATGTACTATGAATTAATTTTATTTTTTATCTCTAAATTCTAAATTAATCATTATGCTAAGAAATGATAAATATTTATCATAAATATCCATAAATTCGTAAACACGTCTATAAAAAAATATTAAACCGAATTAATGGGGCCACATATATATATATATATATATATATATATATATATATATATATATATATATATATATATATATATATATATATATATATATAACAGCAATGTCACTGTCAATTCCATTGTAAATATCATTGTCTTCTGAATAGACTCTCTGTTACCAAGAAAAGTAGATTAAAAGTCATAAACTTCTTATTGTGCATACTGATCACAACACTTTAAGACAAAACTAAAATATCAGATGCATAAATTTTGAATCACAGTAACTCCACTTCAGCAGTATCATATGCATGCGAAATATATGATATTTATGAACTAAACCTTTAATTAATAAAATATTAATTATTAATATTTATTGATTAAAAAAACAACAACAACAACACAGCACAAACATAACAGTATCTAAGTTTGTCCTTTACTTGTGGGACATGAGTGCTTCTTCCATGGTCTTCAAACCTTGTTCCATGTTCTTAGCCATGGCAAACAAGCCTTTGTCTATGAAGGAATCAAGATATTCAAGTGTCCAGCCTTGAACCGGTTCGACTTCGTAGAGCCACTCAACCTCACACCCTTCGGCGGTTGGCCTCACTGTCCAGGTTGCAAGGTAGGAGTGAAACCCAACGTTGCTATCCACAATACAATAGGTAAAAGTCCACCGAGCAGGGTCGATGGATAACAGCTTCTGCTTGGTCCAGTTCACAGATTTTTTGGCATCATCGTCCACCGGTGTCTTGAAACCACCGCAGAAACGCACACACCCTGGTATTCCGGAGATTCCTTCAACGGGAATGCACATCGGTGTGGGAAACCACTTGCTCAGGCCGAAGAAATCCTCCAAAAGAGGCCAAACTTTTTCTGCTTTCACTCCTTTCACTTCTGCTATGGCCTTCCCCTTCCATTTTTCCTGGCTTCCTTGCTCGTTAGACTCCATATTTAGTACCTGCAATGTCACACACACAGAAGGAGGTTTATCAAGTTCGTATCTTTGCTATGAAGGTGTAGCCTTCTATATATATAAGAGAAACTGGTCCTACATTAGAACGTGGAAAATTTTACTTTGAATAAAAGTTTTGAAAATTCACACAAAAAGTATTTTACGTTCGTTTGATCTGAATACATTCATTTGATTTAGTTGGTGAAGTCTTACTAACGATAAATATTAATATAAAAAATAGTTTAAAATATATAAATACATACATACCTCATTTTTAAATTAGTTTTAAAATTTATTTTCTATACAATATCATAGTCATTAGAATGTATTCTAACAAAGTTTATTCAATTTATTATATCACATATTATTAAAATATGAGTAAGAGTAACATAATATACATTTACATTCATTTAACTTATTTAACCTCATAAGATGATTTTAAAAGAGTGAATTTTTTAATTCTTTGAAAAATAATAAAATAAAATAAAAAAGATAGTGTGAAATAAATATAAATAAATTATGTATATTAAAATATCATATTTATTGTTTGTTAAATATTGTTTCACTTGTTTAATTATCCATTTTCAACGTAAAAAAGGTTATATTAAAAATATTAAAAAAAAATCAGTTTACCTGTTAACAACCTCCTTAATTTTTTACTTTTTTTTTTCTTTCTTAAAAATAAGAAAGTGTTTTTCCTAATTGAAAAAGTGTCACTATCTTTATCTCTCCACTTGCATTTCATCTTTTGAAGTGTTTCTCTTTGTAATATTCTTTAGATAATAGTAATAATTAAGGATATGTCTAAGTCTAAAGTAGAAAATTGGACAACTCCATCAATCACTTTATTTCTTAGGTTTTGCAGAGTACGACACAAGAATCATTCTTCATGAAAATCATATGCTATATCTCTAAACAATTGTACTAACCACTCTTGAATTAAAAAATGTTAATAATTGAATTGAAATATGTTAAACAATTGTACTAACTTTAATTCAAATGGCCGTTCTAGTCAACTTTTTTCTATTTAAGGTCGCCGACGACGTCATGATCAGGCAGATGGTCTCTTTGCGGTGGCCGATTTGGCGGGGGCAGCTGTTACATAGAAACAAAGTTAGGACAGCTGTTATAGAAATTGGGTTTTATTAGAAATTGGGGATAAATTGCGTTTTGACAACAATACGTAAGCACGCACACTATTGTGTTTTGACACCTAACCACTAACTACTGCTAATGGAAGAGACTAACTTGACTCACAAATTTACAAGTAAGGATCCATTACAATAATTTTTCTAATGAGGAATTAAATTGAGATTTTCAAACCAAACTGGAGACAAAATTGGGTATTAAACCAAATATAAATGAATATGACTTTATTATTATTCTTTTTAAATTCACTGCATTTTGAATTGGTCAAAAGTTGGTAACTAGTGTTTCTAAGATATCAATTATTTAGCTTGTTAAAACTTATATAAGGGGCGCCAAATTCTTAGGCACCACAAAACAAATCATATGAGAATCACACCTTTAGGTTTGTATCCATCACTCAATACTCATATTATTTTTTTTCTTTTATCAGCATTCAATACTCATATACTAACTTATAAGACTGATATTTAAATTTTATAAGACCTTTTGTCAAATTTTGGTAATATGATACAAAAAAAAGAGAGAGAGTTTTAATTAGAAAAATATTTTTTTATTTAATATTATACATTTACCAACGATCAAATAAATTGTAGTAAAAATATAAATTTTATAAAACTCTTTTAATACAACAAAGTTTGAAAAAATATCTTAAAAGTATACATAAGATAACTTAAATATAATATATATATATATATATATATATATAATGATTAAGAAAATTATTGAAAATCTATAAGTGAAAAGTCACATATTAGATGAAAATAAAAAAATTGAACACATCATAAAATACAAGACTTATAAATTTATTGTCTTCAAATTTTGGATTAGAATTAATATATTATTTTATATGATTCAAATCTCATTATTATTAAATTTTTACTATAAATATATTGAAAGATCTATCTATGATATGATAGTCTATTATGTATCTTGATATCATAGTCAATTATGTATCTTAATGATAGTTTCGTATAAATATTGAACTTTGTTGGAATTAATCAATCGCACATTATAATAATTTATTTATTTTATGAATTTAAAAAAAGTAAAATAATCAAAATTAATGTTTAATCAAATATAAATTTGTTTACTTTATCAGCCTTTTTTTTCCGTCATTTTTTATTTCATTTCTTTAGGTCAAAGAGAGCATCATATTATTCAAAAATCAATGATATCAATACCTAATAATTCATATTCTCACCCTCATAATTAATCATTCCAGTCTTTTCCACAAAATAGAGACAAAACAGAGAAGGAAAATAATTCAAATTGTCGACATTTGATAAAAGATGTCTTTAAATTCTAAAATAAAAGATGTTAGAATTTTCAATCCTCTTTATATATATATATCTTTTTCTTTAAATATTTAAGTTTTTATGGTGTGAAGAAAAAAGTAAGAAAGTAAAAAAAGAAAAGAAAAAAGAATTAAAACAAAAAACATGTTTTCATTAAGTAAATATAATGAAAAGATATAAATGAATGAAAATCTTGTAAACGTAACGATTGATTTTAAAAGAAAAAGAGAGAGATGATATATAATTTTTAATGTAATAACCAAATTATCCTTACACCCAAATCAAATAACAATACATATATAAACTATGCTGATTTGCATTCATGATGGCACCGTAATTAATTATGATTAAACAAAATTAATTATGTCCTATTTAATATACGTGTATTTAGTCAAGTAAGTAATAATTAAACTTACGTATGAAAAAAATTGATAGATTTGGACCTATCATGTACATTGCATATTCAGCCATTTAAACTTTGTGATTGGTATAAAAAACAAAGTCAGTCTCAATTTTCCTCTGCTTGTTTGGCTTTCTTCGGAATAGAAATACGTGTCTATGATTCACACACACATTTCCTTGCATTTTCTTTTTCTCAAGAGTGCAAGCACCTTTCATAATGCATTATCAATATGCAAAGCATGATAAATCTTTGGAGTAAGTATCTTTGTTATTCATATTAAATTAAAATTGATTTTTTTTTATTTTAAATTTTGATACATTTTTTGTTTTTGAACTTTAATAGATATAGACAGTTTAACTCAACTACATTTTTATCTGTTAAACAATATTCTATACTGATATTTAAATTAAAACATGTCGAACAATATCAATAATTCAAATGTTATCTTAAAACACTATTTGACATGTTTGAAAAAATTAACACAATTAGATTAAGTTAGATTAAGTTGATTATAACTGTCAATTTTTAAAATTTGAATATCACATATAACAAAGTGAAAACAAAAATAGATTTCAATTTCAATGAAATTTTATAAATCATGGTTAAATATGTTTTGATATATTAACTTTAAATAAAAATTGTAAGTAATCTTCAAAACTTTGACTTAATTTAGTCTCTCAACTTTAGAAATGTACGGATTTAATTATTTTTAACAAAATTTTATTAAGTTTATTTGATGTTTTAAACACACTTCATAATATCATTTGAGTTATTTACCGATTTAACACATTTTTTCTTTGTAAAATTGCGTTTAAAACATGAAATAAACTTAATAAAATTTATTTAAAAAAACCTAAATTCATGTAATTCTAATCTAAAATTTCAAAAAATACCATATTTCAATTTTCAGTTAAAACTAAGATATAAAAAACATATTTAATCCTATAAACTAATACCATAATTAACCCTGTATATTTTGAATCGATCCAAACCTAGTTACATTACTTGGATGGAGGTATTTTTTGTTAAATTTGTTTTTTAAATACAAACTCGTCATCATATGGCCCAAAGTACAATGATTTTTTGTCCTTTAATTTGGAACCCACCCCTTCAATAATGGTGATATTATATTCATGTGGCAGACAATAAAATCTACTTATATACGATTGGAATTATATAAACTAAAATCATATATAAACAACTACCATTGGTTGATTATTTTTAGCTTCATAATATTATAAAATGAAATAAATAAGTTTATAATCTCCAAATCCAACAATGTTGATAGATACTATAATTAAGTAGTGGAAGTGGGTGGGTGTAGCTTTGTACAAAAGCACTTTTCATCTTCTCAAAACCTAAATCATCCAAATCCCACCAAATTGTGGGTGTCACTTACCAAAAAGTTTTAAGACCCACCAATACAAAAATGTAATTTATTTAAGTTTTAAATCTCTCGTATATTTATATTTGCAATTGCATCTTTATTAAGTTATTTTTATCTGGTATTTTCTTTTTTTTTTATATTTTTAATTGAACTTTTACAATTTAATTATTTTGTTAATGTTTTATCTTGTCATATTATTTATTTGTATATTTTAAAATAATAAGTTTTTTAATTAATATAAAATAATATTAAAGTTAATGTAAAATAACAAATATTTTTTATTTCTCAATATAATTTTATATTAATCACACAAAATCATAAATTTCATCATACAAATTTATGTAAGAGACGACGAAGGAACAAAATAAAAGTTGTCACTCAAAAGGTTTAAATTACAGAGAATCAACCGAAAAATATATAATTTTTAAGTATTCAATAAAAAAATTATATTTAATAAAAAATAATTAAAAATACTAAATTTAAAAAGAAAACATAAAACTTAATTAAATTTAATTATAACAATAAAAAATGAGTTTTTTTCACGATTTTTTCTTCATCATTTCTTCCCTCTTTCACCTCTTCTGAGTTTTCTTCTATTTTTTGTAGTCCACTCATTCAAACCTAAGATATCAGTACAAGGGTAAAATAGACTTTTCATTTAAGAATGGTTCGCCACGGACATCACTTTTGTGTGTTTTCCTTTTCAGTACGAAATTTTATTAAAATGATTAACTTATACAAAGAAATTTAAATATTTTATGATAAATTGTATAGTTGGAATAAAGAATTTTAAATTTCATTTAAATGATTTG